CAGCATGAAAGTGTCTCACCAATAGCTCGACAATGTGATTCTTCTTTGGAAGGATGACAGGATGTTTTTCTTGTGTCTGCAGCTTGGAATTCTTCAATCTCCCTCCGACGCACATCACTCCTTCACTGTTGATTTTTGGGTCCAGTCTGTAGAGAGGACTGGATTTCTTCACAGGGTTGGCGGTTGTGTGCAGTGTCTGGTATTCATCTGTGTAGGCTTGTCGTTGAACGTGTCTGATGATTGCTTGTTCTGCCTTGTCAAGATCATCTACTGTTAGTGGCTTCTTCATGTCACTTGGCACACGTCCATTCTTGTTCTGCAAGTACTCTCTCACTCGCAAGATCCATGCTACAGCCTTCTTCAGCCTGTGCCACGATGAGTAGTGTTGGAGTAGTTTGTCTGTCCCCTTGTTCTCTTCGGAATCTACAGCAAATATCTGCACTTGCTCCTTGCTTTTCTTAAGCTCCGGATCACTCTGTCTTAGGGGATCCATAACTTGTGGTTCCTTCGGCCAGTGTTTTTGTGGCATTAGGAGGAACTCTGGTCCTTGTAGCCACCTTGTGCTCTTCTTAAGCTCACCGGCTGACATCCCTCTTGATATGTCATCAGCAGGGTTTGACTTTGTGTCTACATAATGCCACTGACTTGCTTCTGATGCATTATGTATGGTAGCTATCCTGTTGGCTGCAAATGTGCGAAACCTCCCGTCTGTACTTCTAATGTACTGCAGCACAATGGTGCTATCTGTCCAGAATGTCGAGTGGATCGGTTCCTGTACATCTAACTCTCTCTTCACTGCAACATCAAGCTTAGCAGCAAGGGTCGCTGCTGCAAGCTCAAGACGAGGTATCGTCATTGTTTTTAATGGCGCTAGATGAGACTTGGCCATCACCAGACTGCTGTGTAGCTCACTGCTGGTGTTCTTCATGACAAGGTAGGACACTGCTCCATAAGCCTTCTCTGAGGCATCTGCAAAATGATGCAACTGGTATTCTGTCACTGTGCCAAAGCCATGTGGCTTCACACATCTGTTAACTTCAAACTCCTTCATCTCTGCTAGCTCTTCTGACCAACCTTGCCATATTTGTCGGTGCTCTTCTGGCACTGGATCATCCCATCCCAGCTTCATTCTTGTCAGCTCCTGGAGTAGCAGTCTCGCTCTCAGGATGAACGGGTTGGCATATCCCAGGGGGTCATAGATTGATGACACAATGCTCAATAGCCCACGTCTCGTCAGGGGCTTGTCCTTATGTGACAACTTGTATCCCAAACAGTCTCTTTCAACATCCCAGCTGACGCCCAAGGCTCTGTCAACAGGTAGAGCATCAAGGTTTAGGTCAAGACCCTTCAACTGCTTGGATCGTTCTTCAGTAGGGATGGACTTCAGGACACTTGGTTTGTTACTCAGCCACTTGGTCAATTTGAATCCGCCTCTTTGCAGCAGATTTCTCAGCTCATCCGATAGATTCACAGCCTTCTCTTCAGACTCGACGGAAACCAGGCAGTCGTCAACATAGAAATTGCGCTTCACAATTTCTACAGCTTCAGGACTGAACTGGTCTTGGTTATCATCGGCTGTTTGGCGCAGTGCAAAATTGCAGCAACTGGGGCTCCAGGTCCCGCCGAACAGGTGCACACACATCCGGTACACCTTTGGTTGATGAGTCATGTCGCCGGATGGCCACCATAGGAACCTCAACACATCTCGTTCTTCCACTGGTACTCGAACTTGATGAAACATGGCCTCCACATCTGCCATGAAGGCGACTGGTCCCTGTCTGAATCTCAGCAAGACTCCGGTAAGTTTATTTGTCAGATCTGGCCCTTGCAGAACTTCATCATTGAGAGACACACCTCCGCTCTTAGCTGCACAATCGAACACGATGCGTAGTTTGTCGGGTTTCATGGGGTGGAAAACTGGGTGGTGAGGAAGATACCAGATAGCCTGATCTTCAGACTGACATTCTTGTTTCTCTACTTCCTCAGCATACCCCTTCTTGAGTAAGTCCTCGATGCCTTCTTGGTACTTACGACGGAGACTGTCATCTTTGCCAAGCTTTCTTGCAAGACTCTGCAACCTCTGTTCTGCTAACCACCGATTATTTGGCAGGCATGGAGGATGACGCTTGAATGGCACTGGTAACTGATAATGTCCTCCATCAATGCTTATTCCACCTTTCCACATCTTCAGAGCTCTTTGGTCGTTCACTGACATGCCTCTTTCATCATGTAGTGTATCGGATGCCTCCAGCTTCCAAAACTTATGAACCTGTTCTTCCAGGCCGATGTCTCCTTGAATGAAGGTAGAGGTAGCATGAGTGTTCTGCTCTGTTGTGCCGACTTTGTTCACTGGGCCATGTAGCGACCATCCCAATGCCGTTCGCACAGCATAGGGTCCGTCCTTTGCCTTTCCTCTTCTTATTTCGAGAGGCATCAGTGCTCTCGGAATATCTTGACCAATCAGGAGTCCAACTTCATTCTCGCCTGCAAACGGTAGGTCAATACCCTGCAGGTAGGGTAGTCCAGCTATCTCTTCCATCTTGGCCATGTGGGTACTCTGAATGTTGATCTTGTGTTTGGTGAACACATTTGGCAACTCTATACGGTCTGTGGCTGGTCCCGAGTCCACAATCAAGCTCACTCTTGTGGTGTCTATGGAGCTGCCCATCTTGTCAAGTGTTGTCAGGTTGAGCCTTTGTTTGGCCCCTTCAACTCCAAGCTGTCGTGCCAAGTGTTCTGTACAGAATGTATTTGTGGAACCAGTGTCCAACAATGCATGGGTGCGGATGAAGACACTGCCGCCGGCAGCTTTCACTCGAACAGGGACAATGGGCAGCACGGTCCTGCCGGCCCCTGTGACGTTACTGCAACTTGCTTCAGCGGCTGAATCAATGTAGCCATTCTGTACCGGGGCATCTAGTGATGTGTTGGCTTGGGACGCTGCTTCTTCACGCTGCTGCATTGTCTGCGGGATGTGAAGGAATTTTGTATGTTTCCTTCCACAACCAGAAACAGTACATGTCCTGTTCAGCCTGCACGCTGATGTCATGTGACCTCTGCGCAGACAGTTGAAGCACAATCTCTCTTGCTTGGCATAACTCAGCCTGTCTTGTGGTGACTTTGCCTTGAACTGCTGGCAACCAAATAGGGTGTGTTCTCCCTTGCATAGAGAACACTCTCTGGTGACTACTCTCTCTGGTACAGATGCCACTGCAAAGGACCCTCTCTGTCTTGGCTGTGTGCGTCTTTTCTGAGGAACATCACGGCTTCTCTCCCAAGTAGATGTACCATACACAGGGTTATTCTCCTCTTCTGCTACATCATCTATGTAGGCCACAAGATCCTTCACCTTCGGCATTCGATCTTCCTTCCTTTCGAGGTCTCTGACCTTTCGGACCCATCGATAGCGCAAGTAGTTGGGCAAGCGCTCAACAATGTCTCTCAGAAAACTCTGGTGTGCCATCTCATTTTCGTAGCCCATAGCCTGGAGGGTTTCGTAGCAGACTTTCAGCTCATCTGCCATTTCTCTGATGGCTTTTCCATCATGGGGTGACACTGTTTGGCCTCGGGTGACTTTCTTCATCCATGCATCAGCAACTTTATATTTGTTTCCAAATCTCTCCTTCAACAAGGTTTTGGCTCGAGCATAACCTTGTGTCGACTCCATCACAGAGCATGCTTGAATCACTCTGCGTGCTTCCCCCTTGCAGTAATGAAGAAGTCTTGTCAGCTTGGCAGCGTTGCTTATTGTCGTGCTGTCTACATTCACCTCGAAAGCTCTCCAAAATTCCCAAAACTTGAGGGGATCTCCTTCGTAGCACATCAGCTCTGCTTTCGGTAACTGCAATGTCTCAATGAGGCTCTGCTGCTGTTGCTTTGATTGTCGCAACATCTCATGGATGGCTTCGGTAGGGGGTGGCGTTTCTTGCGGCGTTGACGATTGATGATCTTCAATGGGGTATGGGACTGTGTCACCGCTTGTATCATCATCATGCGGTGATGGATCGGGCTGCGATGGGGAGTCTTCATCAGGGGGAGATGGTGTTGACTGAGATGAAGAAACTGGGGTTGTTTTCTCGTCATCGAACTGGGCATAAACTTTTGCCTCCGCTTCTGCACAGCTGAGCTTGGTTTTCATTTGAAGCTCAGTTCTCCTTTGGTGGAGCCTCAATTCCTGTAGCTCAAGCTCTTGTTGTTCTTTAAGAGCTTCAACTTCTGCTTGAAGTGCAGCACTCCTCACCATGGCCTCCATTCTGGCTCTCCTGCTGGATGAGGTGCTTGTCGTATGGCTGCACTGACTGGCCGAATCTTCCGGCTTGACATCATCTTCATGACTTGGTGACGTAGTACTCATGTTGTCGATTTATGACGCTGTTATTGAACTTAATGTGACGGATGACAACAAAAAAGGACTCCTTTGATGACGATTTAACTGTTTCCCATGTATTGTACCATAGCAAAATGTGTGACGGGTTTTGTACACTCAGAAGTTGAATGCGAATGCGAATGCGGTTCAATAACATTGGGCGTATCGAATAATGATGCAAAATCAAAGGAACCTTTTGACGGATTTCTACAAACTTGACAAATATGTGACAATGCTGGCGCGCTGAGAGCGCCCTCTGTTGACGAAGAAAATTCTACGCCTATGACGTCACGAACGAACTGGAAAACTTTCCTACCCGCAACATTTACACTTCGGTGAAGGGCAAAACTCAATATTGAATTTGCATCACCCGGACGTAACTTTCATCTTATGAATAGGATTGTGTTTTGTAAAGAGTCTTTTTTTCATGCGTATAACCACACCCAAAAGATGAGATGCCTTCGGTATGTGCGTTGTAAAACCTCTTCAATTACTTCCTCCAAGGATAAACAACACTTCAAAGGCTGTTACTCCTTGGTGTGTCATCCCCTTAAGTTATAGGGGGAACGACACTTCATATAGTGAGTTAAATTTTAAGTGTGCTAATCGGTCAATCATTTCTGAGCAAAAAAGGTCACATTATTTTTTCGGAATCCTTACGGAACACGAAGGGGCAGAACTCTTGGCATCGTTTCTTCCATCGGTCACCTCCACGGACTACTTGCAGGGTCTTCTGCGGCGTGACTATGATGGCGTGACGGTTAGGCACCCGGTAGTTACGGCTGATGTTGACCCGCTTAGCCTCAACGGAATCCGTCCGGTCGGCCTCGGCTGAGAAAAAGGAGCCGATCATCTTGAGCGTGTGGTGAGGGGCCAGCGCCGTGAAACCCTCTGTGAAGTCGCCCCGGGCCTGCTCAAGATTGAAGCCTCCTCCGGTAGTAGTGCCGGACAGAAGCTTGACCTCCGTGGAGAATTTCAGCTGCTGCCATTTCTCGTACGTCGTCCGCACGTAGATTTTCTCTGTCGAGGAGTTGCATACGTGGACTGTCTGATCAAACACCATGTTGAAAATTCAATCAGCTAAAACCTGAAATGTACGGAGGAACATGTAAGTAACATTAACGTGCTAGTTAATCAATGCGCTCCTTTCCAAATTATGATTATGGATATCGTCCTACTTTAGAGAAATTAGAGAAAACTAGATTTGAACTATACTTTCGAGAGAATAAAAAGACACGGCACTCCACTCATTATCTGCTCATTCAAAGGCTTTTTTTATTATGAGACAGTTACACGTTAATATATTGGGGAATTAATAGCCGGAGCCGAAGCTGTTTAATAAATTTACAAAAAAAAATCCCCCATAAAAATTGGGTATGGATAACTCATAACTGCATGCATGCTGTAATGCCAGAAAAAAAAGAGCAATATATTTTGAAAATTGATTTGTTTAGTTATTTCTGTTAAAGTGCGTCGCCTAAAATGCACGGACAAAAAACACATGGCATGCAAATTCAAATTTACCAGTTGTCCGCCAGTTGCCAACCTAAATATTTCTAATTGTCTTTTAAAAAAATAATAATCATGAAAAAAAGGTTACACTTTAATGTGATTATAGGATTAAAAACACGATACAGCTGAAATTGACAGTTTAAAAGTTGTATTTTTAACTGGAACAATAATCACAGGGGTTCTAAAATTGATTTCCACCCACATGTTGTGATGATGAAAGCAGTAGGTATTTAAACGTGTTCATGGACGCGCGGATATCTCGAGTAATTTCATTGGACTGTTGATTACGTCACACGCTGAATGCATAAATGGCTGACTGTCATTGGTGGAAAGTTCTATAACTCGCATTTCCACCAGTTGATAAGAAGCAACAATCTACAGTTAAAATTTAACCTATACCAACACCATCAACATTCGCAGTGGCAAAGCCAGCGGGGGATGGGGGTGGCGGGGTGGGGGGTGGAGGAGGTTGGGGGTGGTTCCCTCCCCCCCCCCCCCCAACATTTGTAAAAAAGTGCCCTTTATTCAGAACTGCCCTTTTCTTTTTTCAACGAGCGCCTTTTTTAACTAGTGTCTTTTCTTGGAATATCGCGCTAACGTCGTCAACTGTGCTGCCATTAAAATTCGCCATCTTTTGTTCCGATAGTCCCATAATCGTCCAGTTTAAACAGCAACCCCCCCCCCCCCCCCATAGGAAGATGGTGTCCAGCCAAGCCCCCCCCCCCCCCTCGTTTTTTTTATTTGACGGAGTCCGGATGAGCGGTGAAAAAAACATGTCTACCTTTCAGTATATACGGATGGGCGAGAGCCCTTTTTTCAAATCTACCCCGCCCCCAATAAAATTGACCTTGCCACGCTACTGATTCGTTAGCCTTGGTCAAGGCGCTAGTTGTTATTCATCCGGCCGTAGCGCGGTAAACGATATCCTCGCTAGCGCAGCTGGCGCTATGCATGCAGTGCATTAAAAATACAGTGCAAACAGCAACCTCACCTGGCCACTGTTTTTATGCATATCACTTGTACCCAATCTAGCGATGCACCGCCCCCAAAACCTCAAAGGGACGATTTTGAACCAAGGCGCTGGTTTGGGCCCAACTGATTTGCATATTAACAGTGTGATCTTTAAAGACAAAGTGTTATACTATGTTTACGGTATGCCTTTACTGAAAGTGAAGTTTTTAATTGGTGGCAAACCACAAGGCCATTATTTTAATATTTTATCAAAACCACATTATGAAAGGTGACGAACACGTATATAGGTGCCGGTGCGTGCTTGTTTCGAAACAATTCAATCGTTCCATAGAAATAATTATAGAGTGATTTAATATGTATACCAAATCAAAACTTCTCTTTCAAGTCATATAATATAAAATATCACAAACGATAAATGATTAAGAAATCCTGCGCCCGAAGGGAAGGTTAAGTTGCACCGGACTGAAGATTTTTTTCTTTGGAGTTAAAGGCAAAAATGAGACAAAAACAATCCATGACCAGTTGGTGAGAATTCCGACCCAGCCCTATACTGTCACATGAATTTATTGTTCCCATACCACGCCCCAAAACCTGGTAGGAATGGATCATGGCCGGGCATGCCGAAGCTCCAGTGGTAACACATTATATCCCAACCTGTCTATCAATGATAATGTCATGTACTGTTACAAGCCCACATAATATTGGAAATCCCCACTGGAAGTCATTCAACAGAATTTCAACAGGATACTTGACGATCGACGTGCATAACTGTGCAGCATGACGCGTTAGTAGTGCGTGGTTCAAGTTGCGGTCAAATGATTTTCATAATGCATGCAATGCAATTGAAATGTCAAAGGGTCGTACATACAATGTTCAAGGTCATGGTCTTCAAATGTTGCGTCGCCTTACTAACACGAGCAATGGCGGCCGGTTAATGATGAAATATAGGGATAGGCCTGCAATGTAAGGAAGCCTCATCCCCAAAACAACAGCCATTTGACAGCTTCAATCAAAACTAAAGCAAATAACCCGTCACCTTTTGACCTCAGTGGACCCACGTACGTTCCTGGAAAACACACACGGGGGAATCACCACATACCGGTGAAGTGAAATAACCTTCAGACCCGGACTTGAACAGGAAACTCTGACTAAGCTGTCAACGCTGAACGTTTGACCATTATGAATGACTTTAAGGGGCATTACGGCCTGAATGTTTTGGATTATTTACCTATCCTATTTCACAGGTCTGGTTAAAAGGAAAATAACCTGATGTCTTACCGTTCCCGAAAAAAGACGAGAAAACAAACCGATTGATTACTTATGGCGCGATGGACATTTTGTGGCACGCACCTACGTATTTCCAGCCGTGTCGATCGATCCATTCAATATACGGCACACTGTAACATTATGTGTGTATCATAAAATTCACACAGCATCAAAACACAAAATGTTGCTTCTCGCACGTCATCAGAACGCGATACACTGGTGGAACATTGTGTCGCAGGATTAACGACTAGCATCCAACAGCTCAATTTTTGAGAGTCAAAATTTTGCCCCCCGAAATTCGTTCTCGCAAGAATAACACAAAAGTCCAAAACGCTCAGTTTTTAAAGGATGGCTGTGTGGGCGTTTAAGACCTACTTTTAAAAAAAAGCTCTTTCCAGTTAACTTTAATTCGCATTTTGTAAACTTTAAAACGCATTTTGTAGCCCAATTGGGTGCGGCACAGTTCCAACACGTAAAATCCCTTTAAACTATATTTTTGTTTATACTGAACTCCGTTTTATCTCCACAGTTCCTCGTTTTTGTTAACAATCGATACAATATGTAACCGTTCGATTTCGTTTTGTTTTTCATTCGACTGAAATGTTCCCCTTCACCATTAGGCCTATTAAAGTCTTCATCATCCATAATTAAACAAAGGAGGTTATCCAAAGCGCCTGTCTATAAACTACCAGCAATAATGAGTTTCCAAGCCCACACTCTAAATGTGCTGCTTTCCAACATCCTTTACGCAGGTGAAATTGCAACCGGGAAGACATTTCCCCCCTATAACAGCCTGTCCGCAGAGCAATTGCTTTAACTAACCTCACCTGATAAAGCTACAAAATACTACTGAGTAGTAATTCTGTACACGCTGTAGTATGCACTTCTTATACAAGTGTACACAACACGTGTATATTCTGTGGTGTTCGGTACTTGCCCCCCAAAGAGCACTATAAACGTTAGGGTTAATGATTATTGCTACTTACCAATTTATAGTGAGACGACACGATCCCTCGCGTTCTGTGAAAGAATTCGGCTACACTACATCTAGATAATAATGCCGCAAGAACTAAATCATAATGAGTAAATTCTAGACGCGGAAGTCCCATTGAAACGTGTATTTCATGTCAGAGTCAAAAGCGGTCTTAGTCGGATAACAAAGAGACTCAGTCTGGTTCCCAGACCAAAAGATTCTGACTATTTCTGAGGATACTGAGGTCCAACCTCGTCCCCAGGGTGTCGAACAGTACGCGCCCATCACTACCTGCTCTCTTACCCTGGTATTGGATCATTTGCATGTGCAACATTTTTGAACACGTATGCAAATGAGCAACAGTCTGGTGCCTGAATATGCGTTACATTAGCGTTTCTTTTTGTATGCGGTGTCTGGGGTAAAAACAGAGTCAATTCGTCGCAGCGCGAGCACGGCGTGAGTTACGAAAACACGATTTTTAAAATTAAACTGTTACGATCTTATATCGAGACAACATGCAGTATATCATATTTCATATGCAAATTGGAAAGGAAATTAGTATTTTCGAGAAGGCGTGGACGAATGATCGCGAAAACATGTACTGTACGTTTCGAATAATAGCACCAAGTACACGATAAAAATCCATTACTAGCCAATTGCGGTATCGAATCAGGATACAGGAAGAAAGCTTGCTATCCGGGGTTTACTATTGGAAACAAGGTTGGAAATAAAGTGAGCACTGGGTACGAGGTTGACTGAGGTCAGATGATATCAATGATTAAGCCAAAGCGGAAATGAAGCCGAGCTTTAAAAAAGGACCATCATATTTATTTTTAGCCTGATGGCGGTTGCCTGACCTACGATAATCATAGACGTCGGGGTGTTGGGGAATCAGGTCAAGGAATCAGACTAACAGAGGCTCAGCCATAAATCAAAGGCACTCGCGACTTTGCTGGTTCGTTTGCATTATTTAGCCTACATGTATGATCAGTAGCAGCATCCAGTGTCACGGTCTCACTTCTCCAGTGTGCTAGCTTCTCCGAAAGGGAAATTTCACATAATTGCGCAGTGGGGTACATTTTTTTGTCAACTTTATTTGTGTGCTGAGTTCTTCGGGGTTGTACTGGTGCACGTAATATCATAGGATATTTGTATGGGTACCAGTCGAATCCAGAATTTTCGTGGCGCGCACAACTCCCAACATGGTTTCCTTCCTCCATGATCCCAATAACCAAAAAAAGACTTGAAATGCACATTTATTTTAAGCCGCATGGTTGCAAAAATAAAGACAAAATAAACCAAGAACGAGCAAGGAACACGGACCAAGGAGTTGGTTCTTAATTATTCCTCCATGAACACACACGCACACACACACATGCATGACGTACGACGGGAACACAAATCAGAATGATGGGGGAAGTGTTACATAACACATTCTTGGATGTCCCTCTCTGTGTTATTAATAGGCTTTGTAATAAAGCCCGAGGAAAAGTAAGCATAGCGGACACATCAGCATGTATCGTGCTCATGTAACGTGCACGCTAACGAGCTCAACTGTCCGCCGAATCCATCCGGAGAAGCTAGCACGTCGGAGAAGTGAGACCGTGACACTGGGAAGCAAGTACGTTGTTTTCCGGCAACCAAGTACAGTCAATGACCATAATGCGCATGGTAACGGAATGATTCTCGAACTTAACTTAAAACAATCCTCAAGACATCCATGACACAGGGGAAAATTGTTTCATCGATCAGTACCAATTCTTGATTAAATAACAAAGTTAAAGAAAGAAAATGTACCCATGCACTTTATAGGTTCCACGCATGCGTATTAAGGTAAATGACTCTACTTGCCCGCTCACAAAACAATTGCATCCCGGAAGTACAAGGGAAATTCCCACACTGAAAGCAATTAAGCAATAATTTGGGATGTCAACGTGAGGGTGTACTGTGCACAACCGCTTCCAGATTCTGGAGGAATCAAACAACCCAAGTGATCGGTGTGAGCAGTTTGTCACAGCAAATGCTGATAAGGCGATGAGGGAGTGTGTTCCGGAGATGGAGCGGGTTAAGATTAGTGCTCGCGATCAAAGCTTCCTGACGATAGTGATGACATCCTCACTAACCTCAACACCGACGGCGGACCACTCACCGCCACTGAGCTGGCCAAGGTCAAGTGGACACTGCAGAAGGGGAAGAGCGCAGGCCCAGACGGCATATCTCCTATGCCTCCGGAAGTCTTCAAGAATGGTTAGATTGCCAACACGTTTCTGGAAACCTGCAACCTTGCCCTGTGATCAACAACGAAGTCAACAGGCAGCTAGTGGTTGCTGTCAAACACCGTACTAGTAGCCGTGCCCAAATCTGGTGATCTCGGTAAAAACTGACAACATACGATCGCCAAGATGTTCAACCGCATGATACTCATCGGCTACGCGACGCGATCAACCCACACCTAGCTCAGAGATAACCAGAATGGATTCGGGGTCAACAACTGTCGAGGCGATAATCAAGAAGGTTAAGAGCAATAATCCGACAGCAGTCCTGACCTTCATTGACTTCAGAGAAGCATTTGTTCCATCAACAGAGCAGTGATGTAGGTCTCGAGGCAGGTCTTGGTATCGAGACCGGTCTCGAGATCGATTTTCTCAGATCTCGACAAGTTCAAAGTCTCGACTAAAAAAACTCGATCTCGGTCTCGGTCTCGGATCAAAAGTTTCGAGATCAAACGGGGTCTCGAGCAAACGAAACCTTATTATTCTGTTGTTAAAAAAAACACCAAAAAAAAACCAAATAAATTTTTATGATAATCTGACCACGGCTGACTTACTTTCAAAATGTTCGATAGACCGTGGTGCTATCGATTCCGAGGAATGGAATCAATTAGTCTGGTACCAAAATATGTTACCGCATTTCTAGTAAAGCAAACTCCCTTGGTACTTGGGTACAATGTACTGTACCGCATGCGCTATGCGTGCGTATCCGCATCAAGTTGTTGATAAAGCCATAGAGCAAGGAACAAGCGCGTGTCGTCGGCACACTCCGAAGCCTGATAAGTAAGTTGGTTCAACTTTAAAGACCACACTCAGTTCTATGACCGGAGGGCAAACAATTGGAAACACTCTGCGATCTGCAGATTATTGCAAGATTAAGGTCACAAAGGGGGCTGGCACAAGTTTGGCTTTTTTACGAGGCACCTCTAAGCCGAGTTCATAAGGCAAATTAAGTCCGAGTCGCTACGCGTCCTGCCGCACGAATGTGGATATCGTTCTCCGTTATTAAGAGCCTGCGGTTGGGCTTACATTTCCGACACCAATTTTGATTCAAGGAAATTCATACCGTAGTGATGGCTGGTACCATCTGTCAATGGGGGCGCTGTTCAAAACCGATGACTGTGCACACTAATGGACAATAATATTGTCCATTAGTGTGCACAGTCATCGGTTTTATATTATATGGTGCTCCCGGAAGTTCCGGGAGCCGGAACGGCCGATGGGACACAAAAGGGCACGAATTCTTTTTTAAAAGGGCACTTGTTCAGAAAAAAGGGCACTCTTGAAAAAAGGGCACTTGGGGGGGGGGGGGGGGGAGGGCACTCTTTACAAAATATTAGGGCGGGGATAAGTGCCGGTGAAAAAAGGGCATTTGAATGGAAAAGGGCAGTCTTTTCAAAATATTGGGGGGTAAATACCCCCAAACCATACTGCAACAAGTTTAAGTAATGTGATGTTTCTCATCTACCATGAGCTCAAATTATGGTCTGTTTATACACGAATTACTAGAATTAAGTGTTATTTTGTACAAATTCGTCAACAATTCGCGTGAAATCAGGTTCATACACTGTAAAACTAAACCCAGTGTTTACCTTTTGAACACATTATAAACGCTTTTTTGCAACAATTTATAAACGCTGTAACGCGTGTAGGTGGCTCAATGTTTAGTCAGATTCATTAATATGCAGTTTCCATGTACCCAAAAAAGCCTCAAAGAGCCGGTGGAAGTTTGCAGCGGCTTGTACTAGAAATTGGACTTTCAGGCAAACAATTTACAAACCGTGATACCGATTGCATTGTCCAGCTGGAGTTTAACTGGTGTTTATCTTATATAAACGCTTAGTGAACGGTTCTGGTTAGACACACTAAACATCATGTTTAACTCATAAATGCACACAGTCGTACTTCACCATTATGTCTGAGTACAAGGCATTGTTTTTGAAATTGTTTAAAAGTTAAATGCTATGACATTAAAATGTTAGACACGGAGTTCGCCTGCCTGCAACCAATTTCCAAATGTATATATCTCTCCTATTCTGGAACATCAGTCTGACAGACAATGGGTGCATGTGAGAAAAATATGGAAACCAACTTACGTCACTAACAATGGTCTTTTTGCCGTGTTCAAAGTGGTAGTCCCACTCAGTGCAGGCAGTCTGGTCCCCAGTCTCCGAGCTGTTAACCAAACACTCCGGGACGTCACTCATCACGACTGATGAGTAGTCGTCTCGGGGCAGACTCTCGGAGATGTTAGCACGATACCAGCGGTTAGATGCATTAATCATGGCCGGCAGATGGAGGGATCTTGCACTGGTACCTGGCCGGCTTGTCGGTGATACGAAGACCATGGCCATCATCTCGTCGCAGAGCTGACAAACCGACGAATAAGCGAAAACCTTGTTTGGAGTAATTCGCGTTTGAAGTTGGACACTTCTCCGGGCGCCGTATTTTACCCTTAATGTTTCGATAAAAAAACTGTTAGTAGATATTCTGAATAAAATATGAAACTAAGTATCCACCAGGTCACTTATTTAATCAGAGAAGTTGTGCGATATGATTTTATTTGATCGTAAACGCATTCGTCAGTTTGTCAAATTACATTAATCTGCAATATCCGGTTGTTCTTCACACTGTTTGTATGCTATTCGTCAGTTTGTCACGCACGCGCAATCCGACAAACTGACGAATAACATTCGTTGGTTCTGCCAGGCAGAAAGAACACTCCCAGCCGTGCTGACGACAACAAACATCAACGTCTGGTAGCGGCCAAAGTTGTAGCGTAGAGCTTCGTCCAACTGCATGACTGGGATCTGGTGGTTCAGCTGTCTAAATAATATTAAATAGTATGTAAAACAAAATGTGGCAAACAACGATGGTGTGGGTCCTATATTGGTCTTGGTATTGAACTTGGTA